TTGTTGGAGAGTAGGTTTAGATTAGACATCCGTAAGAACTACTTCACAGTTAGGGTGGCTAGGATCTGGAACCAACTTCCAAGGGAAGTGGTGCTGGCTCCTACCCTGAGGGTCTTTAAAAGGAGGCTTGATGCCTACCTGACTGGAATCATTTGAGCCCAGTTTTTTCTCCTGCCCAGGCAGGGGGTCGGACTTGAAGATCTACAAAGGTCCCTTCCAACCCTACTTCTATGATATCAGCAGCATATTGGCATCCTTTAAATCAGTGGTTTTCAAACTTTTTTTCGCTGCATACCCCTTTACTTGCAAAAGATTCCTGCTCAAAACTCCTATATTTGATACACTTCTATATGCTTATTCCTTAGGAAGAACACTGACACTGACATCAACATGTGGCAAGGCCATTACTCATGACATGTTAGCCAGTATGAAACTCCAACACTATTATTAAAATATAGGAACATACCTCTTGGCAAAGCACCTCCCACCACTGGGGGTATGCATACCCAGTTTGAATGCCATTGCTCTAGAGCCAACCAAGCACTAATGGAAGCACTCAGCAAATAACTGTAAAGCTCTTTAGCAAAAAGCAAAGAGACACCAAGACCTGGAAGTCCTAGATGCTATCCCAAGTTCTGAAAGGCCCATACTCTCAACAGTTATAGACTCATCTCACCTGCTCCAGCTTGTCTTCACCTCCTGGTCTCCACCCACATTGCTCCTAGCTCAGAGTTCTGGTCCTTAGTTTGGAACCCAAGTTGTAAAAGAAACAGTCCATTGCAGGAGCTTAAAATAAAAAAAAAACTCCACTCTGCCATGCCTACCCAATTTTCCCTCATTTTAAGTTCCCTTCTTTGGATTCAAGCGGTGTCACGAGATTACATGGTGACAAAGTATTGGATGTAGCTCAAAACTAAGTATTAAGAAGAAGAAACTGAGCATTGTTCAGAAAAATGAGCACAGACTTGGAAGTTAAAGCCTACTGGGTTTTAAATGTCACTTCTGATGATGATAAAAAAATATAGCTTTTCTGACACGATGACCCTCTCCGTTTCTATAAAATGGGAATAATTCTACCTGTCAAGCCCCCAAAGCATTTAATTGCTCAGTTCCCCTAAGAGACCAACTCCACAACTCAAAACCTCAGCCAGCAACTCATTTGTATATGGAATATTCAATCTTTGCAGTTAATAAAAGTTTCAATTACCATCAGATGGAGAACTGACTTCTGTTTTAACCTTTGATTTTTCAAGGTCTTCTTTGTATTCTTTCTTCAGCTGTTTTACTATCTTTTTGCTGTAACTTGATTTCTTCACTTTAAAAACTTCTTCAGCTTCTTTAGAAGAAAAATTGGAAAACACTGAGCGATTTGCAAAAGTCAGCCACACCTCCAAAGCAAGCATTTACCTTTCTGACAAATCTTTTGACAGGGCATACAGAACAACTAGATCAGAGACAGGGGCATAGGTAGATTATTTTTTAATTAATGGGGGGTTGCTTTATTATACTCCTTATTTTAATATTTCACTTTAATTTTCTAACTACTTAGCAAGGGCCATATTGGATAAAACCAATGGTCCACCTACACAAATATCCTATCTCTGACATGTAGCAAATACTTTAGTGGGAGAGTGTACAGAGTATGTCTAGGGCAATTTGTTCTTTCTCATACCCGTCATGGCATTAACCATTTAGTTAGGGTTGTCAGAAAACACATCCCTAACTGCTTTATTTAATAGCTTCCAGTGGACCTGTCCTCCATGGATTTGGTTAATCCCTTTGTGAACTATCCATCTTACAAGTAATAAATGAATTAGCCTTTTATTGGAAGCTTCCCTGAGTTTTTTGGAAAAGGACACACATAAATTACTGTATTTCCTCAAATCCAAGAACAAAAAACCCCCACAGCAAATGTTTTTGTCCTGAGGACTGAGTTCCTGGAGTCATGTGAAAACATAAGACTCACGTTCCCCACCTCCCCAAATGACACTTGTAGCTCAGTGGCTGGCAAGGGCAAGTGTGGAAACCAGCCCAGTGGGCAAACAAAATTCACCTCACGCACATTTTTCATATAACCTCTCTATGAGGGGAGGAGGGGTCCATCCACCCCTTCCCCCTCCCATGCAGCATGTCAGTGGTAGAGCCCCCTGCTGGGTAGGGAGGGTCACTGTTAAGAGCCCAACCCCTCCCCAGTACAGCAGGTCAGTGGTGGTGTCCCAGCCCTCTTCCCCACCATGCAGCAGGTTAGTGGTACAGCCCCATACCTGGCAAGAGTCACTGGTACAGCCCAGTTCCCCCTCCCCTCAGGCTGTGGTCAGTGGTAGAGCCAAGCCCACACCCAATACAGCAAGTCAGAGTTACAGCCCCAGTCCCAAGAGGCAGGTTGGTGGTAGAGGCCACCCCTCCCTCCCCCAACCCAAGGGATCA